TTGTTTTATTATGGATTAACCTCCATTTGGAGATGGAAATATGTTTTTTTTTTTTGGACTAATTTTTTTCCCATTAAATATGATTAAGAAATATGTTTTGGCTATTGATTAATCAAAACTGATAAATAGTGTAGAAATTTCAAGCACTAAATTAGACAGTAGAAAGTCACATGAACTAGATTTTTCAAAGAGTAGTATTGGTTAGGTTTTTATAGATCAAGCTTGAGTAGCTAGCTCGTCTCCAAAGCACTTCTAAGGTGTTGTAACCATGCTGAAGTACGTGGCGGCAACTAACAAAAGAGTTGATGATGCTGAAGAAAAGGCTAGGAATGTAAAGCACTGTTGTGATGGTATAGTCATTGTTATTTATTTATTTATTTTTTTCAATTCAACTTCACTTAATTATTAAACTAAAGAAAGTGATTCGAAATGGGTTTAAACAATCTCCTACTACTGGTGCAAATTGAATTTGAACCTTTATTCATAGTTTTTGTCGTTCACACTGTATTTGAAATGTTTGTACTGTAATTCATATCTTGTTATAAAGGTAGGTTACTGTGATTATGCTAAATCAAAAGGGTTGGATGTAGGTATACCGGTAGGGCTTGACATTTGTACTTTATGTTATGTTACATTTTTTTAAAATTTTTTAAATTAATATTACATTTTAATTAGTAAGTACAACTTCTAATAGTATCCTATCAACTCACTAGTGAAATTTTTTTCAAAAAAAATAAAAAAAAAAGTTCACTTGTGAAAATGTTGTAATTTATTTTTCTTATTCTGAATATAGTTTTATTCTTTATTTTATAAAAACAAATTTGCTACACTTACGTGACACGTTGGGAAATAGTCTGGTGGAATGGACCAGATCATACTTTCTTGTTATGGGACAACAGTTCTTTTGTTTGCGTGTCCAGCCTTGGATTTATTCTCCACTATGATTGTATTGATAGATTGAAATCAATAAAGCTGTAATTTTTATTCAATGTAGGATGATTAGAGTGCTGTCATCTTTTGATTCTTGATGATAAAATATCTTTCAACTTTCTAACACTTCCTATTCAGTTTTAAGATATTATATTTTCTAATTGGAACACTTTTGGAAAAAGATGTATTGGCATGCTCGTCATATGAACTATGGAAAAAGATGTATTATCATACTCATTATATGAACTATTACTTATTTTCTTTTCAGTTAGATTAGTGTTTATAACCTATCTTTAAATTTCTTATTTCTTTGGACAGGCAATCTCTATCATGCCCGAGAGAAGTTATATCTTGGAGACAAATTGTTTCTAATAGAAGGGATGATGTGGTTAAAACTATTATTCTAGAGTCTACAGATGCTAAAAGAGACATCGAGAGTCTGCTAAGTTTAGAAAGAGAATATTAAGGCTTTGGAGCAAATATATAAAACCATCTCGGATAATAAGCAACAATGTGTTATCTTTAGTAGTTTATTCATCTTTTGTTTTTTTAAGGACATGTTAGTTTTTTTTTTTATTTTTTTTTATTTTATAGTTTATCTTTATTTTTTTAATGGATATGCCATTTGTATATGTATGTAATGGACAAGTCATGCATGGATGTATTTATTAGTTTGTTTTTTTGTTCTACACAAACTATGTGTATATGTATAGGACATGCCATGGATGTATCTAATTTGGTAAAATAAATTACCTTTTATTGTTTTATTATAAGTGATTGGTGGTATTTAATTATTAGTTTTTTTAAATTAGAAAAGTTAAAAAGTAGACATGTATATTAATTATATTACCTATTCTATTTTATTTTTTTTATACAAAAGAATTGGTTATTTGCAACAAAACATAATGGTCGCAAAAGAGTAGATTATTTGTGACCAAATATAATGGTCGCAAAAGGATTAGCCTATTTGTGACCAATTTGGTGGTCGCAAAAGGGTCGATCATTTGTAACCAAACTTTATGGTCGCAAAAGCATTAGCCTATTTGCGACCAATTTAATGGTCACAAAAGGGTCAATCATTTGTGACCAAACCTTATGGTCACAAAATGATTACCCTATTTGCAACCAATTTTGTGGTTGCAAAAGGGCAGTTTATTTACGACTAAATACTATGGTCACAAATGAATATGTTTTTTGCGACCATACATTATGGTCGTTGAAAGTCTTCTTGGTCGGTAATGTAATTGGTAGTAAAAAATGACTCATTAGCGACCAACTCATTTTTTGGTAGCGAAAGACTATCCGCGTCGCAGTTATCGTCGAGGGCGACCAAAACATTTTGGTTGCTAAAGTCCATTTGCGACCAAATATTTGGTCGCAAAAAGGCATATCTGTTGTAGTGACCTAGAGAAGGTGTTTATGTCAACTTGCCCAATTTATATGATTGATTAACTTAGTCACAAATATGATTAATTAAACATCTATAACCACAAAAATAAATACTGAAAAGTAAAGCAAGAAAAGTAAGGATTGAGATATGACACCAGGTTTTTCAGCGAGGAAACCAATTAGAAAACCTCGAGGTTTTTTACATTATTCCCAACGTAAAACGATTCACTATGCATGAAGTAAATTACACCGAAATTTGACTCAGGCTCGATCACACCCTTCACTGTACCAAAACCTAACTTGCTAAACACCCCTGGTTTTGCGAGCTCCCATCCAACAGTTCTTGACTTCATATTTATTCTTTAAACCTTGTACAAGGATTGCTGGTAGATCAACAACGCTCCACAAGTACCTTGATCCATTCAAAGTGTGATCCTCTTCAAATCTGAATTTTATGTGTAAATAGATAAGATCTTACTTCTCAGAATTTTTGAATATCACTAAAAAGTTTTCAAAAGTTGAACTGGTTCAAGTTGGGATGAACTAGTTCAAGTTAGGCAGAATGAAAATTTTCATTAAAAGCCTAATTTTGAACCACCCAAGTGTTTTCACACACTCACTCACCTTCCTAAAGTATTATTCTCATCGTCACAGAGTGTATCGAAGTATGAACACTATCACTTCTTCAATTCTGCTTCCGATCTTGATTCATGACAATTCAAACTAAAGATTTATAACTCGATCGGACTCGTTTTGACAACAAAATTTTTCAAAATACAAATTTATATTAGCAGCAAGGTTTTTAACTGGGTATATCTACATCAAGGATTAAGCTTGGATGACACTGTGAGTTGCTGCTTTTGGGCCTTTTGGTGCATGCCGAAAATGGTGTTTGCTGGCCCCATGATGAGTGGACAGAGACGGTTTTGGAGAGAGAGAGAAAGGATAGAGATAAAAAATAAAATAAAATTCTTGCTTAAATCAGTAGTGGGTATTTTAGAATTTTTTTAAATATATAAATAAATATGATAAAAATTAATGATTATGGGACAATTTTATTAAAAAATAGATAATATAGGGAGTTATATGAAAAAGAAAAATTAATAGAAAATTTATTGCCCTTTTTAGGGATTTTTTTCCCTTATCCCGATAAAATATGTGCGAGATTCTATGGGAACTGAATCTTTCTTAAACAAACACCACCATATCAAGTCAAGCATCCAAATCCTTACAACCCCACGTTTGATAATCCCTTGTTTATCATCACACAAAGAATAAAACCACGTTACTTACCTTATCCTACTTCCATGATTACCATCCATAGGCATACCAATCAAAGAGGCGTGATCCCATGCACACACCTTCACTCCAATTCACTATACTGCCACGTCAACAACACATACATGTCACGTCATCTACACATGGCCCACCAAAGTGAGGTGACAACACTTGCACATGGTGATCATTATCATCAAAGCTTCGTCTATCATTAGAGGCTAGTTGCACCGTAATTTTAAACCCTAATCTCTTGGGTTGTGAGAGTTACCTTGTAGACTAAATAGGTTTTTGTTCCCCGGTTCAAGTGGTGTCCGCATTTGAAAGTGTACTTGTGATTAAATTTGTGTGAACACGTATATTTAATTACATAATAGGGAAAATTACATATAAATGGAGTCAAAGTTCCATATTTACTTAGAGGCTGAGTCAAAGTTTTATATTTCTCTAAAATGGATTGTTGAGGTGGCACATGGTTTTTTACTGTTTAGAAATTGTGATGCCTAAAATACCCTTCTGCGAAGGTACTACTTTTTCTTCGAAGGTACTACTTTTTTGAACTGAAGGTACTACTTTTTGGCGTCCAGGTACCATGTTTTTTAAACACCCGCGAAGGTACTACTTTTTCTCCAAAGGTACTACTTTTTTGAACTGAAGGTATTACTTTTTTGTACTGAAGGTACTACTTTTTTATTAGGGAAGGGTATTTTAGGCACCACAATTTTCTAAACAGTAAAAAACCATGTGCCACCTCAGCAATCCATTTTAGAGAAATATGAAACTTTGACTTAGCCTCTAAGTAAATATGAAACTTTGACTCCATTTATATGTAATTTTCCCTACATAATAAGTACATTATTATTTTTCATTCATAATTTTGGAAGTACTTATCATTATTCTCATTAAATATGTTTGTGCTCTAATTTGTGGTTAATAAATTTTAATTTTACCGATCAAAAATAAGTTATTATTTTAATTGAGAATAAAAAACATATATAGGTTTCAGGAGAGTCAATGTTTGACAATAAAATCCAAATTTCTTGGGAGTTTGAGAGCTGTAAAAAACTAAGACAACCTCTTTAGTTTTGATAAAAACTAAATATTATCCATATATAGAAATGGGCCTAGCTAATTAAGACTGATTGAAAATTCAATATTTCATCCAAACACACTGCATTTACATATATCATTGTCCATTTCGATCTCTTTGTCTTTGTGTAACAAGTGTAGAGCTGTGACCACATGAAATTATGCACAGGCCAAAGGCCATAGCATATGGTGTATGAAAAAACAAGAGTCTAAAAAGGGTGGGGGACTCCTTTTTTGGTTTTTTTGGCAAGTGGGAAAGTGAGAACCGATGGAGCTAGCTAGGTTTAAAATATAAATAATTAAACATGTGAGAAACGCATTTCTTATGACACACCAATTAAAATAAATATCATGCTGTGAACTTCAAGCCCATTTAAAGCCTCAATTCGATCTCATAACTTCCCCAGCACCACCATTCATTAAACCATAACTGAAACCTAGCTTACCCGAAACAAACATTTCCTAGAGCAACTGACATGTCTTCCTTGCAACTCACCAATACCATAACCTCGAACTTTGATGAAAAACGATGGGTGATTCAAATCCGTCGAACCATAGATGAAGAGCTCGAAGAGGAAGCTGAAATCCCCGTCAGCATCTTCAGCGTGCCCAAAACCCTAATGGCTAGTGATCCAGATTCATATATTCCACAACAAGTTGCACTAGGTCCATACCATTATTGCCGTCCCGAGCTCTACGAGATGGAGAAATATAAGCTTGCTGCCGCCATAAGAATGCAGAAACAGTTCCAGAGCCTCAAGTTCCAACATCTTGTCAACCAGATGATAGAGCTGGAGCTAAGTATTCGAGCTTCCTACCACAAATACCTAGATTTCAATGGTGAAACCTTGGCTTGGATGATGGCAGTAGATGCATCCTTCATGCTAGAGTTCCTTCAAATCTATGCTCTCAAAGAAGGTAAGACTCCAACCCGAATTTCATCTAGAATGTCCCATTTGGTTGATATTTCAGGCAGAAAGTCAGCCCACAATGCCATTCTTCGCGACATGGTCATGTTGGAGAATCAAATCCCACTCTTCCTACTAAGGAAGACGCTAGAATTCCAATTTTCATCGTTGGAATTGTCAGATGATATGTTACATTCCATGTTAATGGGATTGTGCAAGGAGCTTTCTTCCTTCAAGATGATGGAAGAATTTCCAAAAGTTCAAGTCTCCGAGAGCTCTCACTTGCTAGACTTTTTGTACCATTTGATAGTGCCCAAATTGGAACTAGATCATCAATCATCCGAAATATCTGAAGTTCATGAGAATCGAGAAGATTCCAAGAAAGGTGAAGAAGATTCATTTGGGAACTCAAGCTATGTTAAACAAATCCTTGAAGTGATTTGGAATCTCCTTTCAAAATTAAACAAGGGTCCGGTAAGTCTTCTCAAGAGGGTAATATTCTCAAAGCCTGTCAAAGTGATATTAAAATTGCCTTGGACAATTGTCTCCAACCTTCCAGGGATTAGTGTTTTGAAACAACCCATTGAAATGTTCTTCTCCCAAACAAAAGAAGAAGTAAAACCTGAAAATGAGAGTTCTAATTTGAATGCTAACATCAGCAAACCTCCACTAGTTGAGGAAATCACAATCCCTTCGATCACCGAGCTCTTTGAAGCCGGTGTTCATTTGTTACCCACTAATGGTGGCATCTCAACCATTAGTTTCGATGCTAAAAAAGTTACACTGTACCTCCCCACGGTTAGTTTAGACGTGAACACGGAGACAGTGTTTAGAAATTTAGTAGCATATGAAGCTTGCAATGCATGCGGGCCACTGGTTTTCACTCGTTACACTGAATTAATGAATGGGATTATTGATAACGAAGAGGATGCAAAGCTACTTAGAAAAAAAGGGATTATTTTAAACCATTTGAAGACTGATGCGGAAGTGGCCAACCTCTGGAATGGAATGAGCAAGTCTGTTAAGTTGACCAAAGTGCCCTTCTTAGATAAAGTGATTGAAGATGTGAACAAGTATTACAATGGTGGGTGGAAGGTTAGAGTTGGGAAATTCATGAAGAGTTATGTGTTTGCGTCATGGCGATTTCTCACACTGCTGGCTGCTGTTTTGTTCTTGTTGATGACGGCCTTACAAGCCTTTTGCTCTGTTTTTACCTGTTCTCGTATATTCCGTATCACAAACACAAACACAACTACAAGTTCGTGAATGGATTTTCTCCGTTCATCAGACAGACTTGCAGATTCTCTAGCCCTGTCCGTCGTCTGATTTTGCTTGTGTTTCTCACTAAAGATGGAAGGTTGTACAATGACGTTGTGATTGTATTAAGTAGGTTGTAATCAATGCTTGTCATGGTGCTGTGCTTAGTACGTACTGTTTGGATTCTTTGCTTAAATTAAGATTTCTATTGTGCTTTTTTTTTTTTTTTTTGAAACAATGATTTTGCATTTGCTTGTCAGAGAATATGATACATGATACCTTGCCTTAATTTTTATTTTTGTTGGATTAGTTGGGGCAAAGCCAGGACACCCCAGTAATATGATACCATGTGTTATGAAAATTTACTTGTTGAATTAAACTCTTTTAGTGGAAAAAAAAAACCCTAATTTTCATATAATATATTGACAAAATTTTAATAAATTACTTAAATAAAAAATACCTTTTTTTCATACAATATATTCATGACAAATTAAGAAATTCCTTAAATTGTTATAAAATTTTCTACTTTAAGATTTTTATTTAAACAATTAATTTCAAGAATTAAAAGTAAATTTGTGCAAATTTAATGAAGAATGTCATCAAATTAGTATGATTTTTTATATATATAATTTATTTTAATAAATAAATTAATTAAGTGTAATTCAATTTAAAAAATGGCATTATGGTTATTTAATGAAAAAGGGGCATTTTGTAATAAAATGTGATAATTTAAGAAATATTATGCATAAAATATATTTTAAGAAAGTCATTTTCAAATTCGAACATAATTCAAAGAGTTTTTTTTATTCTTTTTGCAGTACTTTTCTCAAAACTTTATCCAAAAGAGGAAGCATTGGCGCTTGAACGATAATATATCATATCAAAGATGTCATTGATCATAATTATTAGTCCAGCTGGGGAGATATATATATATATATATATATAGAAATATTTCCTTAGAATTCGATTAACTTGAGTGATGACCTAATTAAGAAGAAATTAAGAATGTTGGAAAAAGTTTGAATGGTAAAGAGGAGTGCAGGCTTTATCAGCTCAAGTCGATCTGTCCCCAAAAGAAAACACCCTGCATGTTGCTCCAGCTAGATATCCTGTAAAGCATTTTATCCACCAACAATTTGGAATCCCCAATGAGAAGGTTACGTTGCACTGACTGTGTTGGTGTTGGCAGTGTGAACCATGGTTGGGAGAGAGAGAAGAAGAGGTCAAGTGACAGATTTTGAGAGTTTTGGCAGAATTATAGTCACGGCCGTGTATAGAAGAAAAGCAAGTGAAAGCAACAATTGATGAATTTTTTGTATGCATGCGCTAAAACATACTTTATGTGCACGTCTAATGATGCAAAAAAATAGACCACTTGCTTTAATTGGGTTGTTGGGTTGAAAAATGGTGAAACTCGCGAGAGTGCTGGACCACCACAGCTTGTGATTCTTTAGGTGCAAAAATAAAACTCGTCCATGCCTTTTCTGAAGGTGGATGTTGGATTTCACATGAAACCCCAAATCAAAGCCTACTTTTTGCATTTAGTAAATGGGACGCCATGAATCAATTATGGCGAACACATAAAATCCTCAAGGCATATATATACTGTTTTTTTTATTATTTTATTTTATATTTTTTTTTCCTGATGGAAAAGAGATATTGATTTGGCATTTAGTGTAATGATATAAATTCAGCCTGAAAATCTTGAAACTATGCCTTTGTATTTGTTTAGTTTCTTTTTAATATATATATATATATATATATATATATATATATATATATATTTTGATGATAAGAAAGGCATGCATCCACTTATCAATATAGTCTATGCATCCACGTACTTATCAATATAGTCTAATCTCGTGACAAATTTAACTTCGCATTGCTCTATAGGAGAGTTAAGGAGGTCAATAGGTTTAACTTCCTCTTTTGTTCGATTTTTATTTTATTTTAATTTTATCAAAATAATACTAAAACAAACAACTCACAAAAACAAAAATAAAGTTTTAGTAAAGTAAAGATAGCATTAGAGATTGACACCAACCGTGATTTTAGCAGTCTGGAGTGAAATAAACTACTATCCCTTTCTAAATAAGTAGAAACATGTGTCAGGATGGCCGAGTGGTCTAAGGCGCCAGACTCAAGTTCTGGTTCTCGTGAGAGAGCGTGGGTTCAAATCCCACTTCTGACAAAATTGTAATTTTCTTTTTCGCCCTCCCCCCCCCCCAACTCTTATTTATTTATTTTTTTTTCATAAGCAACAAAACAGTTTTGAAGGTGCAGAGGAGGAGAACAATCGCAGACAGAGATTTAGATAGATTGACTCAATTCTTTACACTCATTATCATCTCCATCAAACGGTACACTCTATCTCTCTTCCTGCGAAATCATTTTTATTTTATTTTAATTTTTAATATTTATTTATTTATTTGTGTGTGTTTTTATATATGTATATGCTCTGTACCTCTATTCTTGTTGATTCAAGGTTTTATTTCAGTTTCTTTTCTGTTTTTTGGTTGATATTGTGAAAAGATGGTGTCTCGTTCCTAATTAAAATGCTTCAAAATTACAAAAAGCCTGAAAATTTTAGGGTTATTTTACGAAATTGAATGTTACTGAATAACACGGAGCCTAGTCTAGCTTTTAGGTGCGAGCTAATTGGCTCTTTTTCTCTAACATTCTGTTTATGTGCCTCAACACCACTGTAGTCAATGTTAGGTTGAGAGTTTTGTTTTAGTAATTTGCTTATGAAATCGATAAGGTACTAATAATTTATCACAAATTACTTCCTTAATACACACATATATATAAATATGAATATGTAAACAATTTAAATTAAAACAGTGAAAACAAAATAAAAAACTATTAGTAATTCTAATGTTGTATAATTAGATTTTTTGGTAATATTATGAACATTCTATAGCTTTTCAAAATTCTAATTGTTTTGGTGTTTGTAAAATAACCAATCTATAATTATTAAGAAACATCATGCGACATGGTAGTTTCAATCAGATACTAGAGGGTGACAAGGCTGTGGTGAAATAAGCAGTTGTATTTGTGAAGAATGTTGTGGGTGGCTTGTATTGGTCATCTATAGACACCTTACAATTCATTTGTTAATGAAATTATATGATGGAAGGACTTACCTCCCTCAATAAAACACTGGTTCTTCCATTTCCTGTCTTTCTTATAATTAATAAATATCTTAATCCAAAAATATTAGTCATGCGAAAATAGATTGGTGATTTTAAAAGCAATCTTCATATGAATCATATCGCTCCCAACAAGTTGAATCGAAGGCATATCTCCGGGATAGAATGTGTTTTTAGAGTCTGAAAAATGTGCCTTTTTTGCAATAGTATTGCTTTAAAAACATTCAATTTGCTGGCTAGCAATTACCACCCTCATACTTCACCAAAGCAACAATTGATTTGGACTTTTAATGAAAGGCCTAAACATGCTGAAAGAATTTGACCACATCACATCTAACTTAACATCTATTTTATGAACATCTCTTGTAAATAACTTAGAATATTCCTGGGATTGATCTATAAACCTCAGATAGTATCAAGAATCAAACATGCAACCTTAAAACCCTCTTACGGATCTCCAACTTCTGCTGGCAAGATGGTAACAAGCATTTACAGATGGTCAATGGATTTTCTTTGCACTTCTTTTGTGGTTCAAGTTTTTACATGTTCTTTTTCGAGACAATGTTAGAGCATCAAAGACTTACCAAAAGAAAATGTAAGCACATCAAAGGGTTGGCTTTTGACAATTTTGGTAGATGTTTTTCCATGGTGACTAGTCTCTGCTTATAATAAAAATAGAACTATTGTGTAATTTGGAATTTTAAGGTTCATGCTTGCATTTATTACATCACTTTGGTTGATAATTGTGGTTGAAACCTATAGGAAGATTATTTTGAGCTCCATTTATTTTCCTTTGTGGTCTCATTAAAGGTAGGGTTGCTTCCTTGCTTTCTCATCCAAAATTTGATATTAGTTAAGGTAGGTGATCAATTGTTGCGAGTTTAGAGATTCATTGTGTGGAATGGAAATTGGACTCTTTCAAAGATAAACAAGTATTTAAAGAGCCTTGTCTATCTAATGGGTTTATGTGGTACTTGCATCAGTTTGAAATTCTCTTAGGACACAAGTTTGCAATGACATTGCTGATCTTTGTGGTGTAACATCAATTTATATATGAAGACTTTGTTAGTTAATGGATTGTCACAGTAAATTCTTATTGTTTATTTTTTCTTCTTGATACTGAGATTGCCACAATCCTTGTTTAATGTGTCGCCAAGAACATGTCATGGCAAGAATTACATAAACAGATGATGAGTTGAATAATATACTCTTGTGTCTTAGAATCCACCATAGAGCATCAAATAAAAGATCTAAAATTTTGTCCGTCATGCTAAGACATTTTTACTCTTATTTGAATGTTAATCCTTATACTGCGATTTTTTTTGTGACTTTGTTGGCATTGCAGTTGGTGTTAAGGGTGAAGACGATGCGTTTATTGGTGTTTCAGTTGGTATTAAGGGTGAAGATGATACCTCTTGTCCATCTCTAAAACATGATATTAGTGATGGATTTTCAAGTATCAATGCCTTTGACTTTGCTAGCAGAGTAGGACCACTATTGAACAAGTTTGAGATAAATATAGAAGCTGTACAATCTCCTGCTATGGAAGTCATGAACAAAGTACAGTCATTACCTGTCAGTACAAGAGTTCCTAAACCATCAGTTGATACAGAGTTGCTCTCCAAAGCATGTGGCAGTTATTTTGATTTCTTCACTCTTAAAGAAATTAATACCTGTATCATGGCTTCGGAGACTATGCGTGTTTTCTGTTCTATTACAATAGCACTGTTGGTAGTTCTATCTTATATCAACATTCCTCGTAACATAGAAAAGTTAAAGAGCATCATCATCTCAAGGCCTCTTTTCATAGTCTTGCTAACGGATGTAGCAATTGTGCTTGTATTGTTGCTTCTTGAGAGACAAAAGGATTTTGAGAAGGCCAAGGAAGAAGGAAAAATGGGTCTGCGAGAAAATGGGCATAAATGGGCTGGAGCAGTGAGTGTCTTGGAGATGGGTTTGGTGTTGCACCAAACAATACGTGCTATTTTTCATAGATTGCAATTTCTATGTAGTAGTTGTCATCTGTGGCCTCTCTCTGGTGTAGCTTTGGTCGTGCAATGTGCG